AAACTTCGACCGTAACGACGGGGCGCCGGATGGAGGAGTAAAATAAACGGAATGTGACGGCCGGTTATGTAAACTGCTTGACTCGGAGCGAGAGAATCTGAGGAAAAGGAGAGGCGAAAAGGGTGCGAATGGCGAACAGCTCGAAAAACCCTAAGAAGGCGAACCTCCTTGATCCCCATGCGATCAAGCACGTTCTTGACGAATCTGTTAATGAGGCAAGGAATTTGAATCGGTGTTCCTTCGATTCCTTGTTGATTTTTATTTTGCTTGCACTTTTTTTCCCTGAGATTTCATAGCGGTCTCGTGGCAGATCGTGACGAGCCGGGGGTACCCGGAGGACTTCCGTCTGAGCAACTTGAGGCTGTTGATCGGGACTGTGATTATTGCCATTGCCCTACTTGCGCAGTTCTACCCTAAAAAATTCCCGGAGAACAGGGATATCCTCATCGGCTGCATCATATTATATCCTTTGGTTGTTCACTTATTCAACTCCATGGTCTTTTTTATTTTCAGCTGAGTTGGTTTGTGTGATGTTCTTCTTTGACTATGGCAAGTATGTAGTTCTCAATGGGATCTTGCAATTCATTAGCTACACCAAGGAGAAAAATGCGATCCTCTTCACTTATCCTCCTCCTGTAAGTTTTTTTTTCGGACTTGAGAAGCTTTTTTTTTTTTTTTTTTAATGTTTCCGTCTGTAATGAATGATATGCTGGAAGTGCCTTGTTTCTCTTGTTGTCCAATGGAAGATTATCTAGAATTTTCTTGAGAAATGAATTAATGTGTTAAATTTCATGTCCCCACGTTGGACCTTAGGTGAAGACTATAAAATAGATGCTATATAATTGACAATTTAGTAAATTTTATAGAAAACAATAGGGCGATCATGCTGTAGTTTCTTGCGTAGTGGGAGAGTTTTCTTGGTGGGTTGGAGGTTGCTCTCAGTGATTATGCAAGTTATGTACTGTGAATGAGTACCTTTTATGAATGCATTGGGATGAGTTATTTCAGTGAGAAATTATTGTTGGTCAGTGGGTACTTTGAGCAAGTACACTCAATAGGTTGTTAAGTACATAGAATAGTAATCTCAATGAGTGGGAATCTTCATGGTTATCACGATCGACTTCAGCTTTTAAGTGTTAAGGCCTAGTTAAAGCTGATTATTAGACAACTTGGAAGCGATGTGGCCTCAGATGACTCATTCATAAGTGAGGCATTATGTGAGTTCTGAGTAAGGAAGAGGTTCAAGTCACTTTGATTTTCAATGAAATCTTGGACCTAGTTCAAATTTTGCATCATGAATTGATTAAACTGATCAAGATGAATATGGGTTACCCTTATTTTTCATTTGTTAGCTTGACTTCGAAGCTTTAATGTTTTCTTGACACATACTTCTATTCTTTTGGCCTTAACGAGAGCACCAATATATAACGAGAGGAGATCTTAATGGTTTAGATACCCATATGAGTACTAATCAAAATAAATTCTCGTCTTTTATAAAAATTCTTGATGAAATCACCTTTTTCAATCTCTCTTTCTCTTGTCCTTGATGTTTTTTTAACGTGGCACAACATAGCGATTGTCTATGTACTTAAATAGGGATTAAACTCAACATAGTTTCTAAGAAAGGGTACTGTAGTTCCTGTTTATTCTCCCTCCCCACTTTGCGATCACCCAAGGATTATTTATAATAGGTTTGATGCTTTCAAAAATATTGGATTTTTTTTTTTAACTTTGACACCATTTCAGGTTATTTTCTCATTATAAGTTATTACTTTTATTAGTGACGATGAATAAGTATCTTTACTTAATTAAGTTATGAAGAGTATGGTTATTGTTCTTATGGTATCATTTACTTGTCAAGTTATTGTTCAATATGTTGGGTGAGATGTTTTCAAACCAAATGATAGTTTGAGTCTATATTGGGAAGGACCCGAACTCAAACTAGATTAACTTAAATTTATGCCGTGTCCTTGATTGACTCAATTACTCATGCCTTTTAAATAGAGAACTTAATGAGGCACTTTTTTGTACTTTACAGGCCTATGAGCTTTATGCTCCTCTTATAAATCTATAAAATAGTGCTTTCAAATAGGCATGATTGGCACATAGCCCATGAGTTTGACAATCTAAAAGTTTTAATGGTCTAGCTCTAATGAATATAAGCTTAAATGGGCTAACCCTAATGGGCATAGGGCCGCATGAGCCCATATTTTATGTAACACCCTACATGACCAAACCTCGCTATTTTCCACCAAGAGAATGGAAACTAAAATAAATTTAATATCATATGTACACTTTGAACCCATAATTTTGTATGAACATAGGTAAGTTGTCACCATTATGCTAAATCATGTTGTTTTTTGTAAAATAAAAATGGCCATGTATATGCTATTTTTTTTAAAGTTGGGTTTGAAATAATGGTTTAAGATGCCTCTATTATAATATGGAGGTATTAGGTTCAAGGCATAGAAATACTCTCTTCAAATAAAGGGCCAAGTCTATGTCCATCAACCCGTCCTCCAACCATACATAGACAATGTAATTGTAAGCTCGATCGGTAGTCCTATAGACCTCATTTATATTCATTTATTTATATAATTAAACAAATTTGAACATAATTTTAAAAAAATGTCATA